CACAATACAATAACGTAAAAGTATAGGGGCAAAAGAGCAAATTCATTTCTGGTCTTCCTAACCCAACAGGCGCTTGGACCAGATACTACCTTAACCCAACAAAAGTCCAAGCCAAAATACACAAGCCAACCTGTCTTTTATCACTCAAATCCAACCAAAATAAAATATGGGTCTGACTTTCTAGCCCAACCAAAAATAAGAAACAAGCCCACAAAACAAATAAAAATTAGCCCAACTCATCCCTTTTCTTTCTTTTCTTTCCTTTTCTTTTCTTCCTTCTTCCTCCACTTCCCAGTCGTTTCTTTCTCTTCTTCTTTGGCCAGCTGAAGAAGCTTCAGCTGGCGGCCATGGCAGCTCGTCGCCGGCCACCGGCGAATTTTTTGGTCGCCAAAATTGCCAAAATACACCCCTCACTCATTTGTCGCGTAGATTCCATTTTCGAAGTTAATTTTTAGAAAAAATGACCTGAAGGTGGCCAAAATGCCAAAAAACAGCAGCAATTTTTATTTTTCAAATCACCCTATCTTTCACCAAAAATCATAAAAATTATACTACAACACTCTTACAACTTCTATAATACAATTATGATTTTAATTTGACAAGAAAACAACATAAAATGGCTAAATTAAAGCAAAAACAGCCCCTAAATGAAGAAAACTACTTCAATGCCTTTAAAGCTCAAAAACTCCAAAATATTTAGATAATTCCAACATTTTCAGACCTACACTAGCAAACGGTTATCTATTTTGACAAGAAAAACATGCACAATATTCAGCTTTTAATTCGTTTTCCATTTTTGCATTTTAACAAACACCTAACATGCATTCACAGAAATCATCTTTTTCCTAATGTTTATTCATGGCTTTACCCAAAACTTCAACAACATCAATAGCAACAACAACAAACGAAAGCAAGGGACAAATAAATGGCAGCATGAATTTAATCTGATTAATTGAGGAAAGGAAAGCTAGAAAAAGAAAAAAATATAAATAAGTACCTCAATGAAGGAGAGAATGTGTTGGTAGCCGAATAAAAATGGAGAGTCAGGAGCCTCAGGCACCCAAAATTTCTTTTGTTTGGCTTTTTTCTGTCCGTTGAAAGCTCAAGGAAAGCCGAAGTTTTTTTTTTTTTTGTTCTGTGTCTTGTCTCCTTTTTTTAGGGAGAGAGCCGAGAGCTTGGTATATGCTGGAGCAAAGGTGGAGTTTTTTTTTTTTTCCTTCCTTTTTGCTTGTCTATCTAGAGTCCTGAAAGAAAAGGCCGAGAGAGAGGTCTTAACGGCAATCTTAGGAGCCCTTCTTTGCAATGTTTTCTTTGGATCCATTGCCTCTTTTTTCTTTCCGTTGCTTTCTTCCTTTCTCTCGTGTGCTTTGGTCAAAGAGGTGATGGCAATCATGAGTCATCATGAAGGCTCATGATGGCTCATGATGACTTCCCTTTTTTTTAATACAAAAACAATTTTTTTTTATTTTTTTAAAACAAACCTGCAAATATAAGAAAAATGCACAGTAAATTGTAAGATAATAAATAACTCATTAAATTAAAAAACTTTCAAGAAAACGTTAAAATTTGACAAAATTTTGGTGTCTATAACTTTCCTCTCTTTGTCTAGAGTTTCAAAGAAATTCAAGATAAAAACGTAAACACCAAATTACTTACATGTTTTTACGCCAACATTTGGTTAAAATTATTAGACAGAATGATGCAATAATGTTACAAAAAATGTGACCGAACTCATTTAGAGTTGCTTACGTATCCCGCCATGGGAATTAGGTCAAACGTAGTTCGAATACGAGTGAACCACAATGAAACATGTGCATTGACCATCTGTGATTTTCGCAAAGTCGAAGAAGTATGAGCTCTCGAAACTTCTAACACGAAACACAAGATAACTGAGAAAGCAGAATTATTAACCAAAATAGTTAAGAAAAGTATATTGTCATAATTAGAAAAAGATGCGCAGAGGGACGCGATTACGCTTCAAAAGGAATTTAAATACGATTGTCAAGAAGGGAGACAGAAGGGTGCACGGCGGACGCTGAGACTTACCAGCAGGAAATTAAATTGTCAAGAAGGGAGGTAGAACGGTGCGCGGTGGACGTTGAGACCCACCAACGAAAATTAAATTTGATTTCAAAAAGGGAGATAGAAGGGTGCGCGGTGGACGCTAAGATTCACCAACAGGAAATTAAATTTTGTCGAGAAGGGGGATAGAGCGGTGCGCGGTGGACGTTGAGACTCACCAACAGGAATTTAAATTTGTCAGAAGGGAGATAGAAGGGTGCGCGGTGGACGCTGAGACTCACCAAAAGGAATTTAAATTTGTCAAGAAAGGAGATAAAAGGGTGCGCGGTGGACGCTGAGATTCACCAACAGGAAATTAAATTTTGTCAAGAAGGGAGATAGAGGGGTGCGCGATGGACGCTGAGACTCACCAACAGGAATTTAAATTTGTCAGAAGGGAGATAGAAGGGTGCGCGGTGGACGCTGAGACTCACCAACAGGAATTTAAATTTGTCAAGAAAGGAGATAAAAAGGTGCGCGGTGGACGCTGAGATTCACCAACAGGAAATTAAATTTTGTCAAGAAGGGAGATAGAGGGGTGCGCGATGGACGCTGAGACTCACCAACATGAATTTAAATTTGTCAGAAGAGAGATTGAAGGGTGCGTGGTGGACGGCTCACCAACAGGAATTTAAATTTATCAAGAAGGGAGATAGAATGGTGCGCGGGGAACGTTGAGACTCACCAACAAGAATTTAAATTTGATCATCAAGAAATAACAGATTGGTGGATATGATCCGAACCCAATTAATAGATTGGTAGGATACGATCTGAGCCCAATTAAAATAATAGATTTGTGGAATATGCCCGAACCCAATTGATAGATTGGTAGGGTACGTTCCGAACCCAATTTAATGATACATTGGTGGGATAATACCCAAACCCAATTGAAATGAAATATTTTCAAATGAAATTTGATTGTCAAACAGGGGAATAGAGGGGTGAGCAGTGGACGCTGAGATTCACCAACAGAAATTTAAATTTGATTTTCTAGAAAAAGATGCGCGGAGGGACGCGATTACGCTCCATAGAAAATCAAATTGTCAAGAAGGGAGATAGAAGGGTGCGTGGTGGATGCTGGAACTCACCAACAGGAAATTTAAATTTTCGAGAAGAGAGATAGAAGGGTGCGGTGGACGACGAGACTCACCAACAAAAAATTAAATTTGATTTTTGTCAAAGATCTAGGTAGTTCAATGGGACTGTATTCAACCAGATGCCTATCAAGAGGATGAAAATATGCTCGAAACTTGGTGGACTTACAATCTCTTCTTGATTTTTCGAACTTTAAAAGAAAGGAAATAGTGATTTTTTTCTTTTCTTTCTTCGAAAATACACAGCGAAACTTGGAGCTCAATCCTTCTTTTTTTTGTCCCAGTGTGAATCATACTCAACTGAACCAATATTGTGTCACATAATTTTTCTTACAAAAGGAAAAAAAAAAAAAGAAACAACTGTCATAGACATAGTGCTACCACCATATGATCCCTTTGCCTTGAGTACCGTGTAAACATGAGTTTCATATCAACAAATTGCTCCTTTAGATTTGGTCCACAACCTCTTCAGAATCTTTGCAACCTTCTAATATTAGTTATCCAAAGTTTATTATCATAGCACCTTCAATTTCCTAACTCCTTTGGGATAAATTATAGGGGGTTGTCTTTTGAATGAGATCTAATAAATGAGAAATATAAACAATTGAAAAATGTATTATGCATCATGTGATAATACTGATATGAAATAAATAATGGTACCTAATAAATACAATAGTAAAAAAAATAAAAATAAAATTGTTAGATTTATGAACACAGGTCCAAAGGTCAAAAGTTGGACACATAATTAGAAAACAGCCTTTGATGAAGATAAGTGCTCCATCTGACCTCTTCGACGTCATCTATTTTGGAATTCATTGTCGGCAAAAGAACAACAGTATGAAAGAAACCCAAATCAACATAGTCACCAGCTCTCAAACGTCAATATTTTCTTCTTCGTTGATGATCCTCTTGTGTTTCAAAACCCTATCTCAGCGCCCTTTCCGGTTTTCACTAAGGTTACCCCCACCCCTTTCTCTTTTTTTTGTTTGTTTTTGTTTTTGTTTTTGTTTTTCTTTTTTTCCTTCTTTTTTTATTTTTCTATTACTTTTTTTATTTTTTTCTCTTTTTTTTTCTTTTTTTTTTTTAGAAGATGTCTTTTCAGGTTTTCACCTAGAGACATAGACAAGACAATTTTAACCCCAACTATATTAATCCAGTCATACTCTGATAATGAGTAGCATTAGTGAGACAATCTTCTCTGGCATGTTTCAAAAAAGTTTGTATTTATATCATTTGTTAATTGATTAAGAAAAATTTTTCTCAAAATACTGCAAAAGATAAAAGTAGACAACTTTGAGCTCTTGTAACTAGGATTGGATGAAATAGTGAAGGAAACGTTGAGACTTGAAAGTAAATCTTATGATGGATTTGCAATCATTTGAAATAGCATTCTTTCAAAAACTTGCTCCAATCTAGGGTTGAAAGAGATAGAATTTGCCCCAGTTTAATTCTAATCCTATTTTTCTATTTTTCTTTTCATTTTCTTTTTACTTTTTACTTTTTTTCTTTTTTTCTCTTTTTTCCCTTTTTCTTTTTTTTCAAACAAGCAAATTACCCCGGTATAGGGGTTAATGATCTTAAGCGGCTGCCAAGTGAGAAAAAAAAGAAAGTGGTACTGAAAAGTCAAAAGGGAGAAATTAGAAATAGGATATCGGAATGAAAAAAATGAGAGGAAGTACGTCTTAAATCCGTCTGTTGCAGTATTTTAAAGAAATTTTTTTATAATAAAATGAAAAACTTTTTGCACATGTTTGCATAGATTGGTTGGGGAAAAACTTGACCGTCCATTTCCATAAGGATAAGCGCTTCTCCGAATAGCACTTTCTTAACAATGAATGGTTCTTGTCAAATTGGGAGCAAACTTCCCTTTAGCCTCCTCTTGATTGGAAGAATTCGTTTCAAGACCTTATCTCCAACTTCAAACAAACAGGGTTTGACTTTTTTGTTGTAAGCCCGAACCATTCGTTGCTGATAATATTGTCCATGACAGATGGTATTCAATCTCTTTTCATCAATCGGAGACAACTGCTTATGACGTTCTCTGATCCATTCAGTTTCTTCAATCTGAGCTTCCATCAAAATGCGTAAGGAAGGAATTTTAACTTCTGCAGGCGATACTGCTTCCATTCCATACATAAGAGAGTAAGAAGTTGCACCGGTAGGTGTGCTGATCACAGTTCTATATGCCATCAGTGCATAAGGCAGTCTCTCATGCCAATTCCGGTGTGTTTCAGTCATTTTACGAATGATCTTCTTCAAATTCTTATTTACAGTTTCAACGGCTCCGTTCATCTGAGTCCTGTAAATAATCAAATTTCGATGTCTAATTTTGAACTGTTCACACAATCCATCCACCATATCATTATTGAGGTTCTTGGCATTGTCGGTGATCAATGTCTTTGGTACCCCAAAACGACAGATGATATTATTTCTCAAGAAATCCGACACTACTTTCTTAGTCACATGCTTATAGGACGCGGCTTCAACCCACTTGGTGAAATATTCAATCGCTACTAAGAAATGCCCATTTGAAGCAGGAGGATCAATAATTTCGATCACATCCATTCCCCAGATCGAACATGGCTATGGAGCAGTCATACTATGCAATTCTGTGGGAGGAGCACGTATAACATCACCATGCATTTGACAGTTAACACACTTTCTAATAAAATTTACACAGTCATGCTCCATGGTAAGTCAAAAATATTCTGTTCTCATGATCTTCTTAGCCAATAGATGCCCATTCATGTGTGGCCCACAAATCTCACTATGCACTTCTTTCATCATATAATCGACTTCATTGATGCATCTCAGAAGGCCCAAATCAGATGTTTTCTTGTATAGCACTTCTCCATTTAAGAAGAATCTTGATGACATTCTACGTAAGAAATATTTGCAGCAGAATCAGTATCAGGAGGGTAGAATCCCGTTTTCATGAATTCCTTAATATCATTGTATCAGTAGCGACTATCAGTGACCCTTTCCGTAACCAGACAGTGCGCTAGTCTATTCTGAAGTTGAATCTATATAGATTCAATTACTAGCTCATCTGGATTTCGGATCATCGAAGACAGAATAGGTAAAGCATCAGCAAAGGCATTACGAGTGCGGGGAATATGTCTGAGTTTCAAATTCCTGAATTTGTTGGCCAAGCTGAGCAAACTACAATGATACAGCATAATTTTTGAATCCTGAATTACCCACTGCTTAAGCGTCTAGTGCACAAGTAGATCGGAATCACTGAATGCTATCAGGTCCTTAATCTCCATGTCCAATGCCATTTTCAATCCAAAAATACAAGCTTGATACTCGGCCATGTTGTTAGTACAAGGAAACCGTAATTTGGCAGTAGCAGGATAGTGTTTCCCTTCAGGGGACACTAAAATTGCTCCAATTGCAGCTCCGAAAGAATTTGACGTGCTGTCAAAAATAACCTCCATCCAGAATACTGCTCACTCATATCCTCAATTGCTCGACGAACATAATTTCTTCATCAGGAAAGTAGGTACGCAATAACTGGTAATCATCATCTCTTGAATTTTCTGCCAAATGATCTGCTATGGTTTCACCCTTGATTGCCTTTTGTGTTGTGAAGACAATGTCGAACTTGGAAAGAATCATTTGCCACTTAGCCATACATCCCATGAGCATCGACTTTTTCAATAAATATTTTAGAAGATCAGAACGAGAAATCAAGTAAATAGTATAACCGAGCAAATAATGTCTCAACTTTTGAGCTGCCCATGCTAAAGCACAACAACTCCTTTCAAGGAAAGAATAGTTGGCCTCATATGCGGTAAATTTTTACTCAGATAGTAGATGGCTTGTTCCTTTTTCCCATACTCGTCATGCTGTCCCAGAACGCATCCGACAGCCTCATCAAGAACAAACAAATACATAATCAGAGGTCTCCCTGGTTGAGATGGCACTAAGACCGGAGGATTTAACAAGTAATTTTTGATCTTATCAAAACCTTACTGGCAATTTTCATTCCAATCCATCGGCGCATTCTTTTTCAACAATTTGAACAAAGGCTCACAGGTAGAGGTTAACTGTGCGATGAATCGCCCAATGAAATTGATCTTTCCAAGAAAACTCTTCACATCTTTTTGAGTTTTTGGAATTGGCATATTTCAAATTGCTTTTATTTTCGCAGGATCTATCTCTATATCCTGTTTGCTGACAATAAAACCCAATAATTTGCCAGCTGGGGCTCTAAAAGTACATTTCGTAGGATTCAACTTCAAATTATATCTTCTCAATCTTTCAAATAGCTTCTTCAAATCAACCAAATGGTTCTCGTCGACCTTTTTGAATTTAATTATGATATCATCCACATAAACCTCCATCTCTTTGTGAATCATATCATGGAACAAGGTAGTCATGGTCCTTTGATAAGTAACTTCAGCATTCTTCAACCCGAAAAGCATCACTTGATAACAAAAGGTTTCTCTAAGGGGTGATAAAAGAGGTTTTCTCTTGGTCTTCTTCCGCCATTAAAATTTGATGATACCCAACAAAACAATGCATCAAAAAGATTCAATTTCGTGTCCAGCAATATTGTCCAAAAGAATATGAATATTTGGCAAAGAAAAAATCATTTAGGACTGGCCTTATTCAGATCTCTGTAATCAACACATACTCGCACCTCCCCAGATTTCTTAGGCACTGACACAGGATTCGATAGGCAAATGGGATAATGAAACACCATGATTATCTTAGCATTGAATTGTTTCACAATTTATTCTTTTATCTTGAGACTCATTTCTGATTTGAATTTACGGCGGCTTCTGCTTCACAGGTAAAATATTTGGATCAGTTGGCAACACCGTGAACCACTATATCCATAGAGATCACTGGCATATCATCATATGACCATGCAAACACGTCTTGAAAATAGCATTAAGAATTCGATCATTTCCTCCTTCTGCTTCTTTTTCAAATGAATGCTGATTTTAACTTCTTTAACCTCTGTCTTAGTGTCAATATTGATGATTTCTATTTCTTCTAAGTTCGATTTGGGTTTCTCTTCATACTGTTTTAAATCTTTTGAAATAAACTCAAATTCTTCCTCGACATCGCTTTCGTTTTGAATTTCAGATTGCATGATTTTAAGTTCATGAGAGATATCGAGGTTGCAGCCATCGAATTCCAAAATGGTGACATCCAAAGAGTCAAAGGATTTTATTTGTGGCCATCTGAAAATAAAATAGAACATACGTAATAAATAAATAGAAAATTCATGAAAGATCTTCCATTTCATTAAATTCAAAATGCATTGAAACTTCACAAAAAGACAAATACATAGACATGATTGCCATTTAAAGACATATCTAGCCCAAACCTTTATTTTCGTTTCAACAATTTTCTTGAACAAAAACAAACTATATTAACTGAAATGAGAATAAAGCTTCAAAAAAAAATAAAAGCAATTTATTTTAATAAAATATCCAGACTACCGTCCAATCTAGATATGAATCTAGACAAAAGACAATCCCCTTAAATTTATCGAAATTCCTTCAAGAGGGAAAGAATAATCAGCAGTCCAATTTTGAATAGCTCCTTTGGTAATTGGCAAAAATTTTGAATTCTCTGATGGCTCCTCCTCACAAGTTGCCCCGACAAATAATTGAGATAGATCCACTTCAATCTCCTCCACAGAAATTTTTCATTTCTAGTACGATCACTTCTGATGGCCGAGGAAAATGTGATGTAGCAGTGGGACATTTAAGACAATTTGCATACCTTTCTTTTCAGCTTGTTTTCGAGCTTGCATTTCCTTTCTATCCTTTGCAGTTGGATGAAATCCCAGTCCAAATGTATCCTTTTGCGTCGGGATCTCTATTGGTTCCAAAATTCCTTACAATTCCCGCCCAAGATCTTTTCCTATTTCATATCCGCCTCGGATTATCTCCTTAGCCATCATGAGACTGGTCTGGCAAATCTGATTTAGTCAACGACTTATCTCTGGATACCCATCCACAGAGACGATGTCAGCAACATGATGAGATGAAATTGGAGTCCCTTTTCTGTCTTCACCTTTGAATTTTGCATCAACGATCATGGTATAGTCATCCTCAGCAAACACAGTAATAAGCTGATCATTCACAATGAATCTCAACATTTGATGCAGAAAAGATGGCACTGAATTGGAAAACATGTATCCAAGGTCTTTCAAGCAAAATATTGTAAATACTGGAGAAGTCCATTACTTGGCAAGTAACTTGAAATTGAGTAGGCCTATCTCCAATACCAGATCTGTTTCACCCATAGATTCCTCCTTGAACCATTGAATCATCGAACCACAGTTACAGATGGGCGGAGTTTAATGTCAAGAAATCCAAGCGTGGTGAGAGTATTCCATGAGCAGATATTCAACGCTGATCCATTATCCACTAAAATTCTTGGCAACAGCTTTCCATTGTAGAGGACTGATATATACAAGACTCTGTTATGCCCGATCCCCTCTGCAGTTAGATCGTCATCAGAGAAGGCAATATGATTAGCAGCAAGTACATTCCCCATAATATTAGAAAATTTATCCACACAGAATATCTTTAGGGACTTGAGCTTCATTCAGAATTTTGAGTAATGCTTCTCTGTGTAACTCGGAGGTCAAGAGAAGATTCAAAAAAAAAAATCTGAGCAGACATCATATCCAACTGTTTCACTATTTTGTACTCACTTCTCTTCAGCACCTTTAAGAAATCCACGGCTTCATTTTCAGGCACAAGAGACTTGGGCGTCGGGATTTAACCTTGGCCTTGGATTGAATGTCTACTTCGGAGTTTCCCACGATTCTCTTAGACGTGGTAGTAGTAGATACCTCTTCCTTTAAGCATTTTTTATCTCCATTAACAGAATAGACTCCTCGTAGTTTCAGGGTACCTCTTGCAAGTTATTGATAGGCATTTATTCCGAAAATTCGAGAATAACGGCTCTAATATATCCCATTCAAAAAATGGTAGATCCAGAATAAAAGAGATTTTGTCAACCTCGAAAACTCCCCTTCTACTATAAATGGCTCATCTTTTTCACTTTTTCAAATACAAGAGATTTCAACTTTTCCTCAATATCATCATTAGTCAAGAACTTCTCAGCAGACAACGATTTTCTCATTCTCGCGTGGTCAGTTTCCATTACACCAAACACCTCAGTTTCATCTACAATGTATTGAGTGGGATCGATAAAATCTTCATCAGCAATGATAACTCCAACAGTGCTTCCATGCTCAGGTAAAGGATTCTTACTGACATTGGGTCCTTGTTCTCCCTTTCTTCTAAGAAGAATGTCTCCAGAATCAATCATGTCCTGGATCTTTTGTTTTAGAGCCTAACAATTGCCAGTGGTATGACCTGGACTTTCAGAATGATAGGCACAGATTGCTTGTGGATCATAACCATCAGGAGGACCTCTGGGATAGAGTTTGGGAGGAACAGTGCTAATTTTTCCAGTTGTACTTAATTGCTTATAAAATTGATCAATGGGTCGGCCCAAATTGGTAAAGGTTCAGAATTGCTTTTGATTTTGAACTCCCCTAGTTTGAAAAGAATTTTGAGAATGGT